TCAGAAATTAGTTTTTGTTGTGTTTGTACTGTAATTTATGATATCTTTCATAACCCTCGTCATTATCTGTTTACTATACTATAGACCCTATAGATTATTTGCACTTCATGGTGTTGTGTGAATAATATTTGACAAATAATTTTTTTGCACGTTTTATCAAATAAAGCGAATTGCAATAAGTGTTGTTTTACTAATCTCTTCCTTGCAAGGCTGTTATACGACGAAAATATATATGATGCAATCATATTTGTCTGTACTTCAATGAGCATTTCCCTCTGTGTGCCATAGGAAAGAGAGGGAAAGAGAAAAGGGGGGAAGGGATAGGTGAAGGGGAAGGAAGAGGAGGAAAGAAAGAAGGGGAGATGGGGAGAAGGGGAGACGAGAGAAAGACACACACACACACACACACACACACACACACACACACACACACACACACACACACACACACACACACACACACACACACACACACACACACACACACACACAGGGAGAGGGAGAGGAGAGAGGGAGAGAGAGGGAGAGGAGAGAGAGAACGAGAGAGAGAGAGAGAGAGAAAAGAGAGAGAGGAGAGAGAGAGAGAGAGAGAGACGAGAGAGAGAGAGAGAGAGAGAGAGAGAGAGAGAGAGAGAGAGAGAGAGAGAGAGAGAGAGAGAGAGAGAGAGAGAGAGAGAGAGAGAGAGAGGAGAAGGGAGGATAGAGGAGCAGGAGCAAGGGGAGTGGAAGGGGATTGAGATTGAGAGTGAGTGAGAGTGTGCTTGTGTGAGAGAGAGAGAGAGAGAGAGAGAGAGAGAGAGAGAGAGAGAGAGAGAGAGAGAGAGAGAGAGAGAGAGAGAGAGAGAGAGAGAGAGAGAGAGAGAGAGTGAAATATATTTACACATACACGCACACACACACAAGTATGCAACCATTCATGAACGACAACACTTGTTTGTCTACATACTCTACCCGTCTTTTACGTAACATTCACCAACATGGAAACACAAAGCGATTCACTGTTTATTTTTTAAAAGAAAGAGATAGATGTAAGACTTCATTTTTCACTAATCTGTGATAATTCTAATAAAGCAAAGTTTCTGTCTTGTTCACTTCTTGCCTCCCAAACTGCTTCTTATGCATTCATAGCCCTTTCTTTTTAGTTTTATGAATTTTGAATCCCATATATGTTTTACCATCCAGTTTACATGCCTTTTAAATGTATTTTCTGTCGAGCGCCTAATTGAAAAAGACGTTTTAGCAAGGTACTCAATTTTTGAACTTCATATTTATCATTACAATCAAGAAATGAACAAAGCCGAACAGTTATTCTAATTTGGCAAAATTGACTGATATGTCTAAGCATAGATTTCAGTGAAGCTTACTTTCAGTAGATATTGGGCCTTTTTATCTGAACAATTTCTGCCTATTACTCCATCTACATAGATGTATATCAATATGATTAAATACATTTATCTGTGGACCTTAGCACACACACACAAGCATATGTTTTTACAAATGTATTAACATATCTATGTATGAAGGGAATTATGTGCATGTCCAAATAAGCATTATATTGGTTTTATGGTAAAAGGACAGAATGCAAATTTTAGTTTAGTGTTCAAAATGTCATACAAAAAGAAATGAATGTTTAAATAAATAAGAAAAAGAAAAGAAAGAAGAAATGGAAAGCCGAAGAAAAGAAAAAGAAGAAAGAAAAGTTTCACAATTCATGAGATCATATGAATAATACTCTCAGTATTGTTTTGATTAACTGCAAGCTATAAAAGCAAAAAGCACATGATTTGGGATATGTAAATGAAACGAATTCTTCGTTCTAACATTTATATCCATTCCACAAAACTATGTATACATATAACCTTCACAATACATTATTATGACCTTATTTCTTTATAATACTTGGGACAAAAATATAAAATCTGGAATGTATGATATCCAGTGGATCAATCTTTTTAACTATATTGGAAACATGCTGTATTTATTGTAAACAATCAACAAATCTAAGGAAAATACAGCCAAGCAAAGTGTTATTTTTAAACAAGAATTAAATCTATGACAACAAAAGATAATTACCTGATTCCTAGGTTTGCTGTTGTTGGAGAACAGGAAAATCATAAGGAATCTGTTACACTCTGCTGCTACCACTACAACCATACAACATGACTTTAATAAAAGTCATATAATCATTTGTTACAATACAACATTATTCTTGACATTTCAGCATATATATTGATATTTCAGGGTATATAACACGGTAAAATAGTGGATTAAGGTGATCCAAAACCAAATAAATGGTTTTGCCTTGCCGATGACAGACTTTCATCAACTATGATATATACTGGAAGGCAAACTTTGACTGAAATGACATGCTGAAGCTCCACTTTGAACCAGATCTGAATTCTGCTATTCACTATGAAGGGAAAAAGCATCAGCATTTCTATTCAACTATAATTTTCATTCTTCCAGCACAGAAGAAAACTCTCTCCCTGCATGTGCTTTTCTCTCCTTCAATTTCCTTAAAAATAATTATGTGATTTTTAAAAACTTGAAGCAGATGAGTTAGAATAAACAAACATCTACTTATATATATTTATGTTTGTGATTAACAAATTAAATAATTTTTTAAAAACTATGATATACAGTATATATTATAATAAAACTTTAAAACTGAACATTTTCTTTAAGTCTAAAACCTAAGTAAAGTCATATACATATAAACAAAAGAGGATAGGTTTTGAGATAGCTCATTCTTAACTGTATTTCATTTTACATCTGAGTTAACATAATCTCAATACTTTTATTAATATTCTAAGTGGCACAAGAACTGTAGTATGGTTGAAAATGTTAAAGTGGGTGCAAGTGTGTATATACATGACAGTGTATGTACATAAATATACACAATATGGGTGGCCAGTATCAGTGCAGTGACATTTTTCACTGCCTCTTATATCCTTATTAATATACCATTTCTTACACAAGACTATTCATCATGTCCCACAAATTAGAAAAATTATATTTTACTGTTCCTATAACCAACACAAGATATGAAGCAATGATGGCCTATTCGAAATAAAGAAAAATGCAAGGTAAACTGAAATCAAAATCAATTAATAAACTGACTGATACCACATTTTGTTTCTTCAAACTACAACTTTACTTCTCAGAAAAAAAAAGGGTATTGCAGATAGACTTCAAGGAGGATAGCAAAAATGTGTTCACTTGATTCAGTGCTTTGTGTTCCGCATTATTCTTTAAAACATAAGTTTCTTACATGAAAACCATTAAAGTACTTCAGCCATTCAGCTTGTACCATTCTGCGTATATATATTTAGGCAAATGCACACTCATCTAGTCATTCCTACTAAGTGTCCTGAAATGCACCATTATTCCTGACTAACATGCAATCAGATAAGCTAGTAGCCATGGTACATTTGCATTCACATTATGGTGTCAACACTGGCCCCATAATACACCTACATTATTACAGTCCCTTTTCACACAACCACATACAGAAACACACACAGACATATACATAAACACACATTCCACATTATTTGCATTAACAATACATCAATCACATCCTTCATTTTAATTGATTATTTCTTCTTTCTTTGTTTTTATATATTAACCTGAGATGCAACTCAGCATATATACAAAAACTGTGGTCTCTTTTATAATATAATCTATAGCTATCTCATAATACTTGGTTCAAGTGTATGCTTTCAGCATACCTTATAAAAATAATAATAAATACCAGAGGGAAAACAGGAAAGTTGAAGAACATAAACCAGTTATTTCCATACTTCCACAGGAAAACAAAAATAATTGGCATACTCTACTTAAAAAGTCCTGAAACTTACTTCTCTCATATCAACCGTAATGTTCGCACAGCCTTAATATGTTACTGTCATTCATATATACATATATACTTCCTACAAATGAGGCTGCACATACCTCTTCTATTCTTCAGCATAAAATATTAAATTCATTTGAGTCACTGCTAGCACCAACTAAAACTACCTTAGATGTACAACAACATATTGATGAAGCTGTGAAACTATTAAAAAATGTTATATTTTTCCTATAAAGATCTAATACCTAAATATTTAATAGATTGCATAGAAACAAAATTGTGTTACATTTTTCTTCTGGAGAAATCAACTTGGCTAAGCATATGCACCTTTAAATGCACACTAAAGCATATTTTTTGTGATTACAAAAGGAAAAATGGGAAGCTAAAAACAAACAAACAAAAAAAATAGAATGATGCACTTTACAGGAGACTTATATTCAAATCTCTTTCTGGGAGTTGTCTTAGTTTGATAGAGCCATCTGCACCGCAGGAGAAAAGTCGATTCTTGTTGTCCAGTTGGAGCTGTGTCACACCTTGACTCAAGTTCTTGAATAAAGATGATCGTGAATGCTCACCGGGCAAGTTGTATATGAGGTTATGAATGGAAAGTCCCCATACCTATGGTAAAGAGCAGATGTGATTATTATTATTATTTTTTTTTTTTTTTTTTTTTTTTTTTTTACGTATCTTTTAATAACCATATACAATAGGTATGTTAATAATTTCTATAGCTACAATTATCTTAAAGGCACTGTATCAAAATAACTAACCTTAATATCACCATCAGCTGATCCTGTGCAGAAGAATTCTTCACTTTGGTCTAATGCCATACACTTGATTGCAGCATCATGGGCCTTTGAGTAAAGCCAATTGTTATTGTTAGAGGGGAAGACAAAAGGAAATCACAGAAACATATTAAAATAACAGAGTTTATAAAATGAATAAATAAAAAATGAAGATACATAAACAGTTGTCTATGCACATCAAAATCACTTCACAACCCATCTTTCATCTCACCTGGAATTTCTGTCGTAGAGTTCGCTGTCTGACATCAAAGATGCACACTGTTCCTTTCTTGCCAGCAGACAGGATAACTTGATGTTGTGGAGCGTAGAGCAAAGCTGAAGCCCCATTATCATGACAAGTCCAAGCTAGAAACAAGAAATTCAATACTAAATATTTACACCATCAAAAGTTTTAATTATAATACTTTAATCTGTTTTCAGGTTATTACTGTTTAGTATAACATGTAAAAAGGACATTATCCATCAGTATTTTCAATGTATGTGAAATAATGACACAAAATGTAATGGTCATATAAAGGATACATTAATATATAATAAATGATATGGATTGCATTTATCAAAACGTTCTAAAACATCTAATTATACTAACAGACAACATTTGCTTTTCGTTGTGGCATCAAAGTATCCCAGAGTGCAACATTACGATGCTCTGAGGACTGTCCAGCTGTTGCAATGAGGCTGGATGACCCAATGAAGACAAAGTCACTGCCATGCTTATTATGGCACTGGTGAGTCTGCATGCAAAGAGAAGAAATATTGATTAATTGCCTTGTATGCAGATAAAATGAGACCAAACATAACCCTATACCAAAAATTATTTGCAATTAAATAACATTCTAATATATTTTTTATTCTACATCACCACTCAGAAACACCTCTGGCTACATATGGGTTCAGCTGCTTAAGGGTAAAATTAGAAGCATGGGAAACATAAAATTAATCTATTTTCTATGCTACTAACTGCAGTATATACAATTATTTTGGTAATGATGCTAAAAAGGAGATTTAAGCCTACTGTTAATGGGGCTGTTTCCCTGAAGTTAAGTTAGGGGTAGGGCCATACAAGCACACTACTGTTTAGTGCATACAATATGGAGCAGGCTCAATTACGATGGGGCTAAAAGAAACTTGCAACAGTGATAACGGAAAAACTTACAATTGTGAGAGAAACCCTACAACAATGATAAAAAAGAACTAAAAGAAGGACAAGAGAAACCCTACAAAAGTGATCAAAGAAACTACAATATTACAAGAAACCTTACAACAATTGTAAGATAAACCCTACAACAGTGATAAGAAAAATATTCCCAAATAAGAGAAATTCTCCAACAATAATATATGAAAAGCTATAAATATGATAAGGAAAATGACAACAATAATAAAAGAAACACGGTGATAATATGTGATATTGTACAATTTTACATATCATTTATCAAAGAGAATACCTCCAACCTTTTGCCTGGCATTTATTTATTGGTTTACTTACATTTTTTTATTTTTACCACTTAACCCAATGTCGATGGAAAAATGGGGTGTTACGTTTGGTAATGCCTGGATAAATGTTTCTACACACAGATGGCTCTGCCAATGCTTAGCTACAAAGGCGTCAATTAGTAAGTCTTGCGACCTAACTTTTCCTTGAAAAAGCGGGAAAAACGCTTTTTTTTATTACTAATGGGTAATGGCATGTATGTACATGCCATGCCCGGCAGCTTGGGGTTGATAATAGATCATGACAATTGAATTAAGCTGTAAAAAGAATCCTATCAGACCATAGGATACTGTCACTTATAGTTGATGAAATGTTATACAAATTACATTTCTGAAAAATGCAACTGACAAGGGCTTACTGCATCCAAAAAAGTAATGTCACTACCTCCCGTGACATTTTAATTCTTCATCTACATCTTTCATTCTCTTTCAAAATAAAAAAAAACAATACACAAATAAAAAAAGGAAAGAAAAAAGATATTAAAAAGCTTACATAGAACTGTTTGTTGACTTGTGATGCTAAACCTAGTTGATAGAGGGACAAGTTTCCATCGCCATCAATAACGCCAAATTTGTTTCCTTGCTGGTTGAAGCGGACACGTGCAACCTTGGCGAAAGTGCCACCAGGACGAGGCCGGGCCACGATGGAGCTATGACGCCACTCTCGTACAACCACTGACCCATCCTGACAGCCCAGTAAGTCTGCAGGAGTATAGTCACAAGGACAGGTGAAAATGAATGATCTGGGATAATACTAGGTCTATGTTCACTATATTAGTGTATATAACAGAATATAACGTAAAAACAAGTGCCCACAAACACACACACATACACACACTCATATCCATACAGATATATTAATGATAAACACTATTCCTTACACAGTGGAAGGACTGGGTGGGAGGTCATACGTCGTGTCCCTTCAATCCGATGACTTAACACCTGAAAAGACACTTCAAATGTTAAACCTGCTTCATTACCACAAAAAGAACCTTCAACAACAGGGCTGAAAATTATTGCAAATCCTAGTGTAAATTCTGGTTATCACAATGTTGTGTTTCTCCTAATGTTACTGTTTTGGTATGAAAGACATTTCAACTTTTTTGAGGGAAAATATGTCATGCACTGCAAAAAAATATGTATATTACAGAGTGATGTGCTGATATATAAATATATCAAAACTATAAAAAATGGACTGATTAAACATAATTTCTGAATATAATAAATAAACAAACAAATAAAATATGTAAATAATAGCCAGTAAATCCACAACTGAAAAGGTTTACTGTGGTTGCTATCTAATCAATTTTGATTAAATGACTTCACATGTGCTTGGTCACTAAGGAATCCATTATAAGGTCTATCTGACCTTACCTGTTTACCCTATTTCTTGGATTAATATAAAGGTTTTTATTTTCATTGTCATTATCCTTAATACAAGTATTACAATTCTGATAATTTTCATTATTATTAAAAGACATGGAAATGACAACAATAGTAAAGAAATGACAACCTTCCTTTCTGAAAATTCAAGGAGTAGGGTAAGTAGGTAGGCAAGGTAAGCTTAATAACTAAGCACTTCTGGAACCAACTGTGTATAACAAATTTAAGAAAGCAAATCCTCAGTGGAGAGTACATGTGCACATGCACTCCCTGCATAACAGATTAACAGAGAAGCAAGCAAAAAATGTAAAAGAGAAAGGCAATAAAAATGGAAAGGGTGCTCATGCTGTTCACAACATCAAGAATAATGATCAATGTCATGATCTTTTTCTCTGAATTCCAAACCTCACACCCTTTTCCAGAAGACATCAATTTTCTATACATACTACATCTCCTATGATAACTGAGGTATGACATACTATTGTTACCCAAAATATTATCTGAAATTCTCTACAAAGAAAATTTGGTAATACACATAGACATTCATACACATGTTTGTTTATATGTGTATGCAAAAAAAAGAATAAAAAAAGAAGAAAGAAAATGAAATAAAGATAATAGAAAGAAAAGGAAAAAGAAGGAAAGGTGAAAGAAAACTCAATTAGAATAAACAATTCCAAAATCATTCTGTTCATTTT